GATTTGAATAATTTTCAACGAATTAATTTTACGTACCAAGGTTATTAAACCGTGGTTGGTAGAAATTGATAAATCAAAAAATTTATAATAATCTAATTTTTTGCTCAGTGGTCATTGCAATAATCGATTTTAAGTCAATTAGCTTCAGTAGTCACTGATTTATCGCAGTTTCCGTGTTTCTTTAAATTACACGTTATATGGGAGGTGGGCGTGGCTATTGCCCGATTTCAAAGATTTTCAACCAATTTCTTAGATGGATCCTTAGCAAGGCTCGTGTCGAGTTTGATTTTGCACCGAAATTCTACTCCACATACTAATTTTCAACAATTTGGATCCAATAATATCATAGTTTTTGCATTTTTCGAAAATACCGTCATATGAGAAGGGGGCGTGGTTGCAGTCCGATTTCGGCCATTTTCAATAGCAACCTACCTTGGATAAATTTCGTTGAGATATCTCAATTATTGCTTGAGTTATCGTGTACACGGACAGACGGACGGACGAACAGACAGACATTGCTTAATCGACTTCTCTTCTCATTCTGATCAATTATGTATACATTTGTCTATATCTATCTCGATTCGTTTTGGCTGTTACAAACAACCGTTATGTGAACAAAATTATAATACCCTTGTGCACAAGTGCACTGGTGTATAAAAAGCAAACCTGTTTACATGTAACTGGGTTACGTTGACCATATATGAAAGTATGTAAGCAAATACGAAATAGAAATCAGCGAAGAGAGAGGGGAGATTTCTGAAAAAAAAATGCGGAAAATAGATGTGAATGGCATAAGGAATGAATAATAGCAGATTGTGTGAATAATCGTTGGTAGGCACGCTTTGTTGGCCCTTAATGTTGAGTAGCATAATAACGGCTAAAAAGTCACACATCATATTTTCAATGCCCATAAAAGTCAAGGAAAAAAGCTAAGGAAAGGATGTGTTAATTGCGAAGGGCATGGTATGGGCAGAATGAATGGAAGTTTGTCATTTCCGCTCTTTAATGGGCCCAGACATTTAAGAATGAGCTCGAATTAAATATGCGCATTTGTATAAAGCTGCAGACAACTAGGTATGTTACGCTTTTTAACGATTTACATATTTTGAAATATTTTAATTGTCGTTTTTCCGCAAACATTTTTCAAAATTTGAACATTTTTTCAAAATTTGAACATTTTTTCAAAATTTGAATTTTGATGTAGAAATGCATCTAGATGCTCTAAAAACATTGGTGCATCAAAAAGAAAATTTTGAAAAAATGTCACTTTTGTACATACATATGTACATACATATTTTTGGCGGTTACGTCTCGATATAATTGCGGGATTCACAACGGTGTCGTAAGTGTCGTATTGTTGTATGTCGTAAACTTTAAAAGCTCAAATAAATGTTTAGAGAACTTGAAACGACAACCAACTATTTTATAACACTGCAAAATTGCATAATATGACTTTGATAGTACTTTGCGAATCCCTTTAACACATTTTTTAGACGTTTAAAGTTTACGACATACAACAATACGACACTTACGATACCGGTGTGAATACCCCAAATGTATATTGTGATACAGTACTAAAAAGTAACATCAAACTAATGATTGACCCCATTTTGCAGGAAGGAACTGCAAAGAAACAAACACACAAATGTACATACATACATACACACATATGTATGTATTTGCATGGCGGTTAATGGCAGTGAACGGAAGCGGAAAAGACTAAAGCTAAAAGCGCCGAAGAATACTGCACAAGTTCACGGCTGGCACAAAATCACATACACGAACAAAAATAACTGCACACACAACACATACATACGTATGTAAGTACATACGAAGATGGCAAAATTGATGAATGGCCGGCCGCGCGCATAAAAAAGGTGTGTTCGCATGGCTGCGTTGTACTCGTACCTTTTGTTTATCACCGCCTGCATGGCAGCATATCCGCACGGGTGGGTGTTTGTGAGTGTGTGTTTATTTGCGTACATATTTGTGTTAACTTGAGTCCTAAACGACTTTGATAGCTGGTTAACGCTGATTTTCTAGGGCAATTAGCCGTGAGTTGCGATTGTCACTAAAAATAGCTTGTGTAATACAGCGGCATTTTTTGTTTGGTTTAGGCACTTTTATAAGAAAGACTTACGTAAATACATACATACACACATAGAATCATACATACTTATGCTTGTACTGCACCGAGATTTTTTTCCAGCATTTTTGCTAGCGAAAAATCAATAACACTGTTGTATTTCCATATATTAAATCTCTGCCAATTTTTACATAACACAGTGTTTTGTAGCGCAAATATATAATAAATATTTTCTATAACTTTATTATGCTCACATTTTCTTTCAATACACATATCCTAACACTTAATTGTGTATCTGCTTAATTAACTAGTTCATTTCTTTCTAGTAAAAATCTGAAGTAGACTCTGCTTTCTTCGCACACACTTTGTGCACTTTGCTCTTTAAGTGCACAGAGTTTGCTTTTACACACTTTTTCACCACTTTTTTACATCTCTTTTAATTTAAATTAATTAATAATTAATTTATTTCAATTAAAGCCATCCGCATTTGCCCTTTTGCTATGCACTCTTTTAGAAAGAACTTCGTATTTTTTGTTTTCATATTTTGCATTGCATTCGTTTCGGTGTGTCAGTTGATGACAACAAAAAATTTGACAGCTCCCTTTTGTTTTCTGTTTTGTGCAACCATTCGTGAGAGGCAGAGTTGTATTTTTCTGTAGGCTATGTGCATGAGAAGCTCGGCCAAACACTAACATATGTGTAAGCGCCAATCTATTATTATTTATTATTATTATTATGTGCATGAGAACGTTGCAGATTTTTTGTAAACTTACCCCAAAACTTCGAAACTCTCTTAACGTTTATGAATGTGTCAAAATGTTTGTGAAAGATGGGCTGACTTCCAAAACGTATCAATACAATGTTTGGAAACTGTTATACTGCGGTATTCAAACTGTTTGTAAATGCAGATTTGCGACACATTGCAACATTATAGATTGCATATTTTAAATATTCAATTTAGCAATGAACAATTTTTCTGAATTTTCCATTTTTAAAACACCAATGGTAACCAAAAACAAACGCAGCATCAACTTTGTTTCTGATGCGCTGATTGCTCTAGCGATGCGTTTCGATAACTTTTCGAATGCGTTTTGGAAAAGTATACATTGTCAACATTTTGTAGCTCAGCGTTATGGGACATTATACTTTGTACGTATGCAAAGCAATTGACGTTTTGGAAGTCAGCCATATTTTTCTTATTTCAGTCCGCTAATGTAAACGGATAAGAAACCGACAGAAGACAATCTGCCTTAACCTGAGCTTCGCCCGAAAAAAATTCACCCGAAAATTTGTATTCCACCCATAGTAAATACATGGAAATCAAAAGTGACAAATGAACCTGTTCGGGGAAAATGAAACTCATGATAAGGCTGAATGAATTTTCTGAGATTAACCCCTCTAAGGAGAAAATATAAAATCGAAGTATCGGTCCTCTTCTTCTTCTTGTTTGGCGCTGTAACCGCCTAAGCGATTTGGGTCGAGTCTAACAAAGCAGGCCAGTCGTCTCTCTTCTGCGCCAACTGACGTTAGTCGGAAATGCTAAGTGAAGCCAAGTCCTTATCCACTTGGTCTTTCTATCGCAGAGGAGGCCTCCCTCTTCCTCTGCTACCATCAGCGGGTTTCGAGTTAAATATTTTCAGGGCAGAGCGTCTGTATATCGGTCCTCTTACTTTACCTTCGTGAAAGTCCTGATTCAGATTGTCAAAAAGTTTAATTAACGTGGGACTATCCTTTGTTTGGTTTTGAAAAAACTCCGATCACTTCGTTTTTTTTCGTCACTTATGTACATAACTACATATTTGATATGCTATGAGTTCAGGTCCTAAATCACGGCATCTATGATCGAATGAAACTCGATTCATCAGTATAAATTGTATTGTGGAGAAAACAGGTTTCATTTGATTCTAAACGAGTAATCGAAACATCTTAAAGAATATGATATAGATTCCAAAAGGTTTTACCCGACCAACGATGGCTCTAATGATAGCAATCGATAAAGCAAAACTATATCGATATCGATAACGATAACAAAATCGACAACGATTGCAATATCTAAATTAAACGATCGATAAGAACACTGGCAAGGGTATTGATAACTGGAATAATATCGAATTCTAGAACGCTTGATGAATTTGATAACTTTTCTTATGATTATTTAAATCAAAACTATATTGATATCGATGACGATAACGATAACGATAACAATTAGTAATTGTTGCAGTTAACTTTTTGCCTGACTCTCATTCCTAAGCTCGTCATATTGTCATATTTAGTTTTATCATTATCATTAAACACATACATATGTATGTATGTATGTACAGTAAAACCTCGGTATATCACCAGGTTGAAGGGCTTTGAAAATTGCTTCGTTATAACTATAGTTTAGTTGTATTTAGATGTAAAAAATTCGTTAAAAGTATAGGTTTCTTTTTTATGACGGGTCTCTAACCCTCGACATATACAGACTGTGGTATGGGGAGGCTTTTGAGTTTACACTTCGTTATATAAAAGCTTTTGCTTACGGTACTTTAACCGTCCATATATTCCGAGGGTTTTCATACCTCAAATTTCTTCGTTATATCTATCTATATAACATCTACGAGATGTAAATTGTCAGGCTATGCAGCAGCATCTACCAGAAGAAATACTAGTAGCATCATACCAGTTGACGAGATCGTGTGCCAATTCATCCGCCGTGAAATGCATAAGTATGCCATTTCGCTCGAGGCGCTGCACAGTGGAAATGACCGACAGAGAAAGCATTGGCGTGGTATTACTGAGGTCCGCGGTCCAATCCCTGGCGCAGGGAATTTTTATTTTATTTATTTTTGTAATTTACTTGTTTTATTTAGGGTTTTTAGTTTAAGTTTTAAATTTAATGAACAAAAAAGATTTTTTTTTTGGTTTCTTGTTTTATGCCACAAGTATTTCTTCCCATAAGCATGTTTTTCTGCAATGAAATTAGATTTTCAAATTTATTATTTATATTTAAATTGAAATAATTGTATTGACTTACACTGAATTAATTTAAAAATAAAAATCGTAACCACCTCCAAGCGGATTCGAACCTTCGATCTCAGCACCAGACCCGTCAGTCTTCACGCGACGCCACAGCCGACATTTGTAAGAAAAGCAATTAATTGTGTGTTATGTTCGGTTTTGGCAATTCAAAGGCAGATACCGCTGAACGCTTTAGTTCTTCGAAATTGTCGAACTGATAGGCCATCGCTGTAGCACAATCTAGTTAATGAACTGGTATTTTTACTGACTGGTTTGGCTTTTCACTGCAGGGATTATTTTGGCGGCGACAATGTTAGGCGACGACTTTGGTTGTAGCCAGATTAGATCTTTTATGTCAAACTCATACAAATTCATGATGTCGCAGTGGCCTTCAAAAAAAAAAAAAAATATGTCGCCTTCGAGAAAGCGTTTAGATAATGAAGATAACAAATTGGAAGCTCGTTGTTTTCAATGCGTCCAGAACAGTGATCGGACTTAAAAAATTCTGTGTGGTAGAATCTGGAAAAAATGTGGTAGATTTAAAAAAAAGTGGTAGATCTCAGGTTTTAGATGAAACTTTGTACAAAAATTAAAAAACTTCTGCAAGGTTTCACCTAAATTACAAACTTTTTAATCAAAATCTAAAACAATTTTATTTTATTATAATAAAGTGCAAGATTGAAGTTGCTAAAAATTACATTGAGTTTTGGCACTTTTTTCCTTGACAGTGTAAAGCAGTTTTTTCCATATCAAGATATTTTTCGAACATATTTTGAAAGATTTCTGCAGCCTTGCGGAGTGCTGCCAGCTTTTCTTTTTATCACGATGTGGCGAACAAATGTGGCACGTTCCAGAAACCGCTACTTAGGATTTACCGATTTTGACAATTCTCAAGTAAAAGTAAACAACGCCTCAGAAACTTTAGATACACTTAAATGTGCTAATACTTTCACAAAAATATTTTGCAATTTAACACAATAAAAGCTCGTTTCCTGTCGAAAAATTGGTTATTGAGAAAATTTACTATTTTACTGTTTATTTTATCCAATTTGATCGCCGCCGGGAATGCGGAATCTTGTATTATATCATTCTTGTTACCATACCGACCCCTTTGCGCAAAATTATCGTATGTTATAAAATCCAAATTTTACAGGAAAGTATTTTTTGTATTTTTCTCTGCTTTGGCTAGCACCGTCAATACCAAAGTTTAGATTTGCTGAGATAATTGAAAGAGAATATAACTAAACGCAAGATTTGTTGTAGAAAGGACTCTACATTCTAATTTCTTAGCACATAAGATAATTTCGCCCACAAGAAAAAAGTCATTGTCACATATGATTAAATTTGCAGTAAATTTTTGGGGTAGCTATTGGCATTTAAGCCGTAATATTTGAACAGGTGATGCGTTATGGGTTGTATTACAAAGTTGCATCAAAAAGTAAATTTCGTAAAAAATGTAACATATTATAATTTTGCGCAAAGGGGTCGATATAGTGTTTAGTGTTGGACAATTTTTGCTCTTAAAATTAAGAAAATTATGTCGAGCAAAAACGCGAATATGTGGTAGATTTCTGACCTTGAGTGGTAGATGTTCAAAAAAGTGGCAGATCTACCACAATGTGGTAGAAGTCCGATCACTGGTTCAGAACTTAATTTTTGAATTTCTTTAGTACCATCGCATGACTACCGCTTCGAATGAAACCGTGGAAGTGACTGAAAATTTTCCACTTTTTGACTAAATACATACTCGTTTTTACTCATATAATACCGTAACTTTGATATTTCCATTTTCTCATTCACATATGGATGTATATGGATATGTACGTATGGAAGTAAATATTGCGCAGGTATACATGTACATTAGGGTGATTTTTTTGCGACTATTGTTTTTTTTAACTCCTACCTCGAAATTTTGTGGAAAACAGCGAAAAAAAAGCTCCCTGGAAATTTGAACCCTTAATATTAACATTAAGTACTCGCCCAAGGCGTGCAAAGATTTCCCATATAAAATACACGTAAACTTTGAGTTTTTTTCTTCAAAAGTCTACAGCTCAGAGGTATTTTATGGTATATCTTGGTCAATGATGGGTTTTCTTCCGAATTGAATGCTCTACAAAAGCGTTCAGCGGTGTAATCCTAACTCCAACCAGCGATGTAGTACGGGCCACTAAACCCAATTTTTTCGTGAAATTCTAAGTTTTTTGCCCTATCTCGAAAATAACAAGAGCTACAGAAAAAATTAAAATACCAAATTTGTAGGAAATAAAATTTCCTACAAAAAAAGTTTCAAAACACCAAATCGCTAACATCGATATTTCTTGAGATATTGGGCTTTTGAAGTTGAGGTAGTGTGGAATTTTCATGGACTATTAAGCTAAATTGTAGAAATTGTTGATCAACTTCAAAGTCCAACATCTCAAGAAATGTAGATATTAGCCATTTGGTGTTGCAGAACTTTTTTGTAGGAAATTGAATGTCCTAGAAGTTTGTCTGTTGTTTGTTTGTTTTTGCTATTTTTTTTTGTAGCTCTTGCTATTTTCGAGATAGCGCCAAAAAACGATAATTTCTTGAAAAAATTGGGTTTAGCGACTCGTACTACCTCGCTGGGGAGTTAGGATTACACCGCAATGAGCACTTTTGTAGAGCATTCAATTTCGAAGAAAACCCATCATTGACCAAGATATACCATAAACTACATCTGAGCTGTAGACTTTTGAAGAAAAAAAATCAAAGTTTACGTGTATTTTATATGGGAAATCTTTGCACGCCTTGGGCGAGTACTTAATGTTAATATCAAGGGTTCAATTTTCAGGGAGCTTTTTTTCGCTATTTTCCACAAAATTTCGAGGTAGGAGTGAAAACAACCATATTCGCAAGAAAAAGCACCCTAATGTGCATACATACATACATACAGTGGCGAAAATATAAAAGGGCAGAAACATTTTGGCATTGTTTGGCCATTTCGCTTTCGGTTATTTATCAAAAAAATCTGATTGTGGGATCTCCGAAATAGCAGCTATAACTTCTACCTATATGTAAATCATTGTAGTTTTTCATAAAAACGGCCTCAAGCACAATGAAATTGTTGAATATAATTGTTATAAAGCCAAAAATAACAAAAAAAAAACAAATAACAAAAACCATGTAATTTAAAATTTTGTAAAAAAATTAGCAAAATTCGGCAAAGTTTCATAAAAATTTTGAACTTTTTAACTAGATTTCCGAGAAACATTCCGAGTGAAATGGAATTTTGACAGTTTCGCGTGAAAAATTATACGAACGTTTTTGTTTGGCTGGAAAATAACTAATAAAACTAATTAAAACATAGAAACAAACAAAAAACCAAACAAGATATTCTACACTGACTTGGGGAAAAAATGCAAGAAGAATTTCTGAGCCTGATCATGGACCGGGCAGACAAAGCACAGGGGTTTAAAGAATGTGCAGAGTTTTGGGAGGAAGTTGCTGTTTATTATAGCTGTCTTTTTAATATATGTGCCATCGACGCACATAATAACGCCAGGAAATCGCGTTCTTGGAAATAAATATTTTCTAGCTTGCCTTTTTTCTTCGTTACTCATTTGCAATAAAATCCATTCCGGACACAACTTCTCCTCCATTACAACCAAACATCTTTTCAACATCGTGACCACTGTTGATTGCACCATTCCTACATCTTGATCCTTTCCGACATCATGCTGGTATCCACCCTCTGCCAGAAATCGCAGAGTACCCTCTACATGGCCTAGTGTTGTTACGCCTGTTTTATGGCTCGGTTCTAAAACATCTTGTACCACATACAATACGTATTTGAACGCATCCTTATTTAACCCAAAGTTTTTTATAAAACTAAAAAATAAATTACACAGGCCGACAAAATAAGACCGATCTCCTTACCCAGAAACCAGACTATACTTTTCCGAAGGTTTTCGGTGCGCTAAATTCAAATCTGGACACAGAATTGCTCTATCACATCAGGATTTTGAGATATTCTAACCTATAAGTGCAAAAAATGCCGTTTTTGCCCATTTTTGAAGTTGTGTAAATATGCAAGCCAGAGTAATTTTTCTGAAAAAAAAAAAATACAAAAAAGGTGTTAAAGTACAAGTCTTTCTCTTTGAAATGGCTCTGAGTTTGCTCAAATATCTTTTTGCTTCGCTGAGATATTACAATTTTAAGTTTACGGATTTTCCAATTTTTCTATATCTTGAAAATCATGTAAGTAACATAGCGGCCATGTGTACTATCCGCAGCACTTCTTGTTCTGGAAAATCCGTAAACTTAAAATTGTAATATCTCTGCGAAGCAAAAAGATATTTAAGCAAACTCAACGCCATTTCAAAGAGAAAGACTTGTACTTTAACACCTTTTTTGTATTTTTTTGAGAAAAATTACTCTGGCTTGGCTGTGGCCAGATTTGAATTCAGCGCACCGAAAACCTTCGGAAAAGTATAGTCTGGTTTCTGAGTAAAAATTTTGTCGGCCTGTGTTATTAATCTAATATCTGCATGTTATTACAACAACTCATGCTGAGTTTCATTTAAAAATTTGGTAGAACTGATTCGAACTTAGTTTACATATGTACGTAGCTGGCAGCACTAACTGCGAAAAACGTCGGAATTGCCGATAGGATTTTTCCCGAATCCGTGACTGGAGATTTATTCCCGACGGGATTCGTTCGGAATCAGCGATAGGCCTGAAATCTGCTTTCCCTATTTACATTCTCGCCACTGTATATATGTATGTACATGTTGAGATGTGTTGTAGCTGATTTTAATTTCCAACCGCTTTTACTCGAGTTTTACGTAGTGTATCGAGTGCGTTGCAGATTTCACGGCCAGATACTCGTACCTACGTGCAGAAAACAACATTCTAAGCAACATGGAGCGGATAGAGTGTAATAAAATGACTACCTGTATGACTTCAGGCTTCAAATTTACCTACCTAAATACCAGCATTTGCAAATATCTGTAGCCATAAGCAATAACCGCCTAAGTCGACTTAAGAAAGAATTGAGATATATATGCTATCGTATTCTGCAACTACTATTACATGTGTATCGCCAGCTCGGCCATCTAAAAAGTTATAGACGAACATACTTTGGTTTCGCCATAAGGATAACATTACAATCCAAATGTTTAAAACGTTTTTTCTCGAATTCAGGTTATTCGCCTTAGGCGGTTATTGCTTATGGCCACAGTTATGTACATACTGTATTTCCTACTTGAGGGTAAGTTTCGAAGTTTCATTCGTTTATTGTTTGCTCTTCAACTTCCTTATTACTGTTTCAACGTCTTTTACTCGTCACGTTCTCCAAGGCAGGCAGCTTATTTGCTGAAATGACTCTACTGTCGACTGTTCTTATTTGGGTTCAGCGTACTAAAAGTGGTTTTTGATGCTTGTTCTCATCGTATTTAGGGTATATTGTTGCTGTTGCTTTGGTTCGCAAAGAATTTCTTCAGCATTCATTTTATTAGGGTAGAGAACACAGAGCATAGTAGAGCGGTAGATATACACATAGTATGTAGTATGCAGTTGTATCTACTCAGATACATAATATATACGCACGTCATACATACCTATCTACAAGATAAGCGGTAGTGAGATTTGGCGCAAAAATCAACAAACCAACAGTGTTTTGAAAACCAAATCTATAGCGGTAAATTTAAGCAAAATCGCGCCTTTTTTTGAAGTCATCATTTCTTCAGAGACATTGGATGTTTGAGACGTCTTGAAAATTCAAAAAACCTGTGCGGTTTTTGCATCATTTGCGAGACAAAATTTCTAGCGCTTGCCAATTTAGTTTAAGTAAGGAAGACGTGTATTAAGACTTCTACTAGGTTTCAGCTCATACCTCTAACTAGGGTTATTCTAACGTGTTATTATAGTTTATGTGAAATCAGGTCAGGTGAGAAGGTCCGACAGTTTCCCTGCCAGGCAGATGAAAAAGCGAGTTCCCAAGTGCTTGATTCATTTTAATTGGCGACCGGAACTTTAATTGATATCTTCTTCTTCTTCTTCTTATTGGGCACTACAACCGTTTGTCGGTTTGGGCTGACAACAAAAATCTTCGCCAGTTGCCTCTCTCATTTGCAGATTTGCGCCAGTTGTTCATCCCAAGTGCGGACAGGCCCTTCTGCACTTGGTCCTTCTATTGTGTTCGTGGGCGCCCTTGTTTCCTTGTCCACTCATGGGTGCGGAGTCGAAGGGTATTTTCATCGGACCGTCGTCATCCATGCGTACAACATGTCCAAGCCAGCGTAATTGTTGTATTTGTATGCGTTAAACTATGGCCATGTCGTTAAAAAGCTCGTACAGTTCTTTATTCCATCTTTTTCGGTACTCGTCGCCCACGCTAACAGGGCCATAGATCTTGCGAAGAATAGTTCTCTCGAAAGCCTCCAAAGCCTTTTCACCTTTGTTACACCTCGTCCATGTTTCTGCGCCATACAAAAGGACGGGCATGATTAGTGATTTGTAGAGCAGGATTTTTAGTTCGTCGAGAGAGGGCTCTGCTTTTCAATACGCCAGTAGAATCGTGCTTTTGCTGTATATGGTGCCGCTGCGATTCAGATTGGCAGCTCTTATAACGCTTTCCT